GCTGTGGGTCCTCACAGGTCATGCAAGAAGGGTTATTTTTATCCAGGGTACAATGGGAAGCCACCAGTGGAATTGTAACTATGGAGGTGACACTAATATGGTTTAAACTTTTGAAGTTAAACTCTGCCCTTCCGGTGAAGAACAATTGGAAAGACATCGAGAATAGAAGCAGGAAGATGAGCTAGGAGGCGATTTCAAAACTCCATGCCAGACATGATGGTATCTTGGACCAGGGTGTCTGGAGTAGAGCTAGGGAGAAGCAGACAGGCAAACTGCACATGTATTTTAGAAACATAAATGAAACACATTACTTAAAATTGAGGCAAGAAGTGTGATGCAGAAAATCAAGGATTACTGTAGGTAGTTTGCCTATATGGCTAAGCAGCGGCACTATTTACTTAGACGGAAAAAACGGATATAAACAGGTTGAGGAAGGTGGTATTAGAGAAATTAGGATTGAGACCTGGCAATCAGCAATTAGTGAAAGCCTCTGGATACAAAGGAAAGAAGTGTGGGCTTACTGAGACCAGCTCAGCCATAGAGACCCCCACCCACACGGCACTGAAGGCATTAAAAAGTAGACACCCAGATAGAACAGCAAAGTGAGACTATCCAGGGACCAACAGGCTTCCGAGCTGAAAGCCTCAAGGGCCGACAGCCTTCTGGGCTGAGGGCCTCGAGCAGACTCTGACCCCCGTGTTTATTCTCTCTGAACAGGTGATTATTATTAACAGCAGGTGTCCTGTGTTTTCTCATAGAACCAAGATAGACTTGGTAGGCAGCTGGTGCCTGCTCACCACTGATCAAGGACAAACCAGAAAGTTTTCTCCACGAGGGAGCCACGGGGGCAGAATCACATATCTTGCGCTTAAAGAATTGTTTTAACCTGTGTATGATATACATCTGTCTGCTACTTTAGAATGCCCCAAGCAGTTTTCTACTTGGTGTGGGGAGTGGGGGGCAACCAGGTTTTCCTTGCTATCGTTCTTCTTAGCAAACAATATATTTTATCATATACTCAGCATTTCTCAACATGGGCTGGAATACAAATACTGGAGTCACCAGCCAAAAAATGGATTGAGAGTCAAGAGAATGACTGAGATCAAGTAGATAGAGAATTGAGGGAAATAAGAGAAGTGGACCCAGCACTGAGTCCTGGAGAACTGAACATTTAAAGGCCTCATTAGAGGAGCCAGAGAAACCTGCAAATGAAACTAAGAAATGGGTAAAGAAAAAAAGAAAGCCCAATACTTATTTGTTGATTTAAGGATTACGGTTCCTCACCCTGCTACTTTGATGTTCACGTTTATTTCCTCAGTACCTAAAACAGTGCCTGGCACTCAGTAAACACTAGTTGTTTGATGAATGAGTGGCGAGAACAGTGGGCTACAGTGGACCAGGAGAGAATGAGAGGTGAAGAAGGACAACCAGCATGTGAGGAAATGTTGCTGCGAAAGGCAGCAGAAAAATGGTACAGTAACGAGAAGAGATATGGAATCAAAGAAGAAAATCTTTTTTAATGGGTTATATGATACCTCACTGACCTAACAGTAATCTATACTGATACTATATTCCTATATGAAAAGGCCAATTTATAATTCTATATTTGAGAGCAAACATACACATTTGTTAAAGTCCATTGATGATACGATTAATTTATTGAAGTAGACAAAATAAGACAGATATTTGTCTTCTAAGTACCATGTGTTGGGTAGTAAACAACTCTGCCTGCAAGGAACTTAACGTCCACTAATTATCTAAAGTGATGATGATGATTCGTTTAGAAATGACTTCATGGAAGTGCAGTTTCCCATGCTGAAACTTTGTTTTTGCTTCTCTGGACTGGAACATTACCTGCTTAAAGGTAAGTGAATTTAAATCCTACCCCTAAGCTGAACAAAAGCTTATAGGAGTTAAGTAATTTGCCCAAGGTCACATCAGTAATAAATGAAACTGGCATTTGAATTTGGGTGTCTCTGGCAATGGCTTGTGCTCATAATCACCATGTTAATGTGTGTTGAAATTCACAACAAAATACAGTATGAAGCTGGCATTCAGATTCAGGTGTCTTTGGCAATAGTTTGTGCTCATAATCACCATGTTAAATCTATGTTGAAATTCACACCAGAATACAGTATTACCATACAATATGATACTATAGTATGTATATTCTTTCTGTAACAATTAAAAATAAACTTTTCCAACTTGGTTCTTCATAATAAAATCCAAAAGTCAATGTTGGAAGTGTATGGAAGATACTCCAAGAGTCTGTCAGAGGGAATTAGCATGAGGGAGTGTGAGCAAAGATGGTGGAAATCAATGGATGAGGTGAAACAATGATTACTCACATGAAAAAATGAGCAGACCACCCAACACATTAAATGCCAAGGTCCCAGACTGAGAAAAGCCTAGGCTTCTTATTTTGTTGCTTTTGCCCTAATCATCTCTGGACGATTCTGTTAGTTTTCATCCTAGCTATAGTGGACAATTCTAGGATGACTCCCAAGATTCCTACTTGCTGGGAGTATAATGAGATATCAGTCCCTTGTTATACGAAAAGGGTCATGGGATAGTCACTCATATTATAATCAGAAGGCTAAAGAGATCATATTATAAGCAGAAGACTAAAGAGATATTCTCCTTCTGGCTATGAGAAGGCATACGGCTTACAACCTGAGGCAGCCTCTAAAAGTTGAGGGGGGCCTTGGTTGGCCAACAGCCAGCAAGAGAAAGGGAACTCAGTCCTACAATATAATTCAAATGGAATTCTGCCAGCAGCCTTAACGAGTTTGGAAGAGGACCCAAGCTGCAGCCAAGACGGCGTTTCTGGTCAGCACCTGAACTCCAACCCACATGAAACTCCGGAGCAGTGGAAAACTCAAATAATAAATGAGTGCCATGTCAAACTGCTCAATTTGTGGTAATTTGTTACACAGTAATAGAAAACTAAAATTCAAGTCAGTATGGATCCCTTCCACAGACAGATAGGGGAGACTTAAGATTGCTATGTTAGCACATTATTCCCAGAGTAATAAGGGAAACAGAGTTTTAAATTCTGAATTGTCTTAATCCATGATCTTTTATATCTCTATGCCTTTTATTTTCTTTTAGCTTTTGTGGGTACATAATAGTTGTACCTCCATGCCTTTACACTTATAGTTCTCTGATGAATTCTTACTCATTCTTCAATACCCAGGTCAGATGTAGCCCCTTCCAAGCAGCATTCCCTTACAGCCATCCCATCCACTCCTGAGCAGATTACCCCTTCTCTTTGCTTCACGGCAGCAGCTTGTGTGTACACCTATGAAAACACTTGCCGGGATATACTGTCATAACTTTTGATGTGTATCCCCGCTTTCCTCTCCACCCTCAGACCGAGAATCTTTACGGCAGAGCTATACCAGCCTGCTGCCTACTGCCTAGTATATCATGGGTAGTAGATTGTTGGATACGGAGAGAATGGAGTCTCTGGATAAACACAGGCTTTTGATGCCCCACAAGTGGCTGTTTCTTTTCTAGCACAACCAATCAGGCCTCAGGTGTTAGTGGAAACTTGGAGAGCCTTCTCCATGACAACAGCTTAGGTGAATAATCAAGCACTTCCGGCCTTAAAAAGGTAGATATTTATTGTTTATCTCAAAAGAGCTGGCCTGAAATCTATAGGTGTGTTTGAAGCAACAGGTGACAGATGCTGAGAAGAATTGAGATTCTCCCCAAAAGGGATGACAGGAAGCTCTGTCTGATTTGTTCTAATTCAAGCCGTTTGCCAGGTTTGCATGCTTGCTGATTCGACTAATTTGTGTTAATCCGCTTTTGAAACCAAATGTCAACCTAAACAAACCACAATCTCACAGAATTAGTTTTACTCAATGGCTTAATTCTATGGGTAACAAGATAAAAATGAGAATTACATATCAACAATATTCCTGGCATTCACAGAACCCTGGGGCAGACAGCATTTTTAGAAAATCACAGACTCAGACAAAATAATGCATAATCTGCAGGGAACAAACAGCATTTGCTTGGTATGTTTTTGGAGATAAATTCTCATTTTCCTTCAGACCCACTCCATGGGCAAATCCTTGAACTCTAAGGAAACGCTCCCTTGCATTCCACTTAAGTTAACCATGCCGCTTCTTTAGGATTCTGCCTTAGTGAAGAAGGAGATCATTCAGAATCAGAGGATAAAAAGCAAGGCATGGAAATAAGGAACCTATGCTGCATCACCAGCACATAGGAGCTAGATTCTCTTTATAAGCAAATCATTAAACCACAAACAAATGAAGTACTGCTTTTTAATATAAGTATTATGACCACAACCAGAAAAACCTGGAAAACTTCAGGGGGGAAATGGTCTTGCCACCTTAAAAGAATTTAATTATTCTTAATTATTTAATAAAATTGTTAGATTTTAGAATATTTTCAAAAGCTTTCAGCATACACTGTTAATGTCAATACCTCTTTTGGCTCCTCCTGGGTATACTGGAGTCATTTGTACGAATCAAGTCAGATCCTGTAGGTTCTACATGTTAAATCTCTTTTTCAAGTACTGGCTGGCATTAACTCAAAAAGCAGCTATCTAATGACACAATTTCCCTAAGATCAGCCGTGTGGAGAAGACATCAGGTCTGGTTTCTAATCTTTCTTTAGCAATAACGCTAGATGCTCCTTCATTCATTCAACAAACATTAATTGAGCACATATTATGTACCAAACATTGTGCTAGGTACTAGGGCTACAGCTGTGTATCAGATAGATAAGGTCTCTGCTCTCACAGGACTCATATTCTCATGTGGGTGTGTATTTGTAATTATGTAGAAACTGTAGAAGAAGAAAAGGAAACCCATGAGAAAGTAGAGTTTCTTAAAAATTAGCTTCCTTCTCTAAAAAATAAAATGGGATAATAAAAGTATCTACTTATAAGGTTGTTGTGAGAAGTGTGCAAATATATTATTTAAAATGCCAACACAAACTTCAAACCGTCAGAACACAGTAAATACCTTCGATGCTCTGTGGGCCCACGAGATTCATGGCCTGGTGAGCTGGATATTCCACGCGGGGCCTGGCAATGCCCAATTGCTCCATAACGCCATGAAGCAGCCTCTGGATATCTGTTTCTGAGACCCTGTCAGGGGTCCGGGGGCTGTAAGCAAATGTTGGAGTCCATCCAGATGCCAGCAAAAACAGTAGGCCAGATAGCACGGTAAGGACCATCCTGGAGACCATTTTTAACCTGCAGATTAAGGACCAAATGTATACTAATTGGCTACAATTGGCAGTTGTGATAATACAATTATGATGATGCAACCACTCCAGGTTGTGGTTCAAGGACCCCCCAGAAAGAGACTGTAATAAAAAATCCTTAGAGGGTTGCTTTTGTCTTAAGTCTCCATGCTAGGCAGGACATTATTGCAGAAAGGTATGAAATAAAACAGTTGCGGGTATCCAGTTCCCTTTGTTTGCTTCTTGGAAAAGCTAGGCTGGAATGGCGGTTCTCACTCATAATTTTTATCCTCCTTGTAGCTCCCTGAAAGTTCTGTGTTACTCCTAACTTCACCACCCTCTCCCTCTCTTATTAAAACAAATAAATCAAAACTTGCTTCAATTGTGAGAAACAGATAGTGGCATCTTGAGTTTTCCCAGTCTCAGGGAAGAAAAGGCTAACAGGAGGGAGTCAGGAAGACACAAATGGTAAAGCAGCACAGGAAGGTTGCGAGTGATGGCAGGGAAACATTTTAGCTTAGCAGACACCCAACACGTTTGAGATCCTGAAAGGAATGAAAATGCACGTTGCTTAGATCCCACCCTGCAATCTGCTGGGGTAGATTGAGGTATGTTTGCTTAGCAGCATGCTCAGTGATCGTGGGCAAGTCCCTCAGTTTCCTTCTCTGCAAAACGGGGACAATAAAAGCATTTACCTTACAGGGTTGTTGGGAGGATGTGTGCAAATGCCTGGTAAGAGTGTGCCAGGCACAGAACGAGCCCCTATATTGCTATTATTATGTTGGTAACACTGCCTTACAGTTCTGGAGGTTAGAATCTGGGGAGGCAGTGGTGGTGAGAGGGAAAAAACTAGCCTGGGGGTGGGAGGGTCAACCTGTCCTAAATGTTGGCTTCTATGGTTATGTCTGCAAAACAAGGGAACATTATCCTTGCTCCTTAACCTGTTTGGACGGATGCTTCAGGCACCAGCCTTGGAAATCTTCCTTTTTTTTTTTTTTTTTTTTTTTTTTTTTTTTTTTTTTTTTTTTTTTTTTTTTTTTTTTTTTTTTTTAAGGCGGAGTCTCGCTCTGCCGTTCAGGCTGGAGTGCAGTGGTAAGACCTCGGCTCACTGCAACCTCCGCCTCCTGGGTTCAAGCGATTCTCCTGCCTCAGCCTCCCGAGTAGCTGGGATTACAGGCGTCCGCAAACACCCCCCGCTAATTATTGTATTTTTAATAGAGACATGGTTTCACCATGTAGGTCAGGCTGATCTCGAACTCCTGACCTCAGGTGATCCACTAGCCTCGGCCGCCCAAAGTGTTGGGATTACAGGCGTGAGCCACCGCGCCCAGCGCAAACCCTCCTTTTAATCATTCATCTACTGGGGATGGGGGACGGAGAGGTGGGGGGAGGCAAAATCGTGGATTTCCTTTACTGAAACAAAATACTCCGCCATTTCTTTTTCTGCAAAGGACCTTTCTAGCCGCTAGATATAAAACCTCTCTCTCCAAAGAGCTGAGTAGCCGTTTAACAGCAAAATCTACAGTTGTGATGGAAAAGGCTGGAGGCAGGCGCGAGGCTCTCCATCTCCATCTTTCCCTTGTCCACTCTGAATGCAGGATGTCTGTTTGACTTCCATGCTAGCAAACGCCGCTCTGATTTGGCGGATTACCCAATCTCCTCCCTCGGTACTCCCTTCCCCTTACTAACAGCCAAACATTCGAATCCCCCACCCATCCTTTGACCCCAGCCTCCATCTCAAGGATTTTAGCAGTACTCCCTCCCCCACTGGCGATGATACCAAATCTCGGGCTAGCGGCAGGCGGCCGAGGCCACATCAAAGCTGTACTCACCGAGAGGCAGCGCGAGGAGCCTACTGCAGTGTGGGCCTCGGTGGGGTCAGGCTTGGAGCGGGCGAACGGGAGAGCTGGTGCGTCACCTTCCTCCGCATCTTAGCTCCGCCCCAGCCCCTCCTCCAGCAGGTGGAAGTTGTCTCGTCAGGACTCCTCAGACTGCATCTCAGTAAGTGTGCCTCTCACCAAGGAGCCGCACAGCGTTTCAGCCCACACATTCTGCATGCAAACCTCTTGACTACGAAATTTCCTAGAGACCCTTTTCCTCCATCGACCTCTGTGGAAGTCATTCACCTCCTTTCTCATTTCAATTACAATGTGCCAGGACACCACTATAGCACACCTTTAATTTTGCCAACTTCTAGAACAGGGTTTTTTGTTTGTTTGTTTGTTTTTAAGTCTTTTATTTTAGTTTCGAGAGAAAAAGGCAATGAATGGTAGAGTGATGAAGAAAAGATGAAGTCCTAAGAACTTTTAATTGTGGCTAACAAGGTACATATTGCTCTGAGGGGCCTCTTACTGAGCATTAAAACTATTGGGATATTTAATACCAGAAGCTAGAAACTTTCCTTAGTTATAAACTTGAAAATCTGTAGAAATATTGGCTCTAAGTGTTACTTCTAAACTTCCACACAAATAAAAGTTTATCTTAAGACTTTTGTTTAAAAAAACCATCAGGCCGGGCGCGGTGGCTCAAGCCTGTAATCCCAGCACTGTGGGAGGCCGGGGCGGGTGGATCACGAGGTCAAGAAATCGAGACCATCCTGGTCAACATGGTGAAACCCCGTCTCTACTAAAAATACAAAAAATTAGCTGGGCATGGTGGCGCGTGCCTGTAATCCCAGCGACTCAGGAGGCTGGGGCAGGAGAATTGCCTGAACCCGGGAGGCGGAGGTTGCGGTGAGCCGAGATCGCGCCATTGCACTCCAGCCTGGGTAACAAGAGTGAA